ACCCGTGAAAAATAATTCTTTTCAAGTAGCTTAATCGTTGCAGAAATAATTCGATCCTTGCATTCGATGAAAAATAGATACTATCTATTTTATTCGTTGACATTGGTTATAGAATAAACCTTTGAAAACCTATAAATTGAACGATTTAGATATAATAAAATGAAACGAAATAAAATAAATTTATACATACATATTTAGAAATTAATTGGAACGTATTTAGTATAATTTAACATTTAAAATTCGTTGGTGTATTAAAAATTCATAAAGAAAGCAAAAAAAAAAAAAAAAAATGGACTTAAAAGAATAAATTACTCGATCCACGTATGCGAATGAATATTTAAATGAAGCGATTAATTCGCAATTTAAAATTTTTCCACGATTACATTCCGCTTTCTTTAGGAGAACCTGTTATGGACAAGAAAATATGTTATTAAACGTTCCAATCTATGGCTCGGTTTCATTGATTTCAACGTGGTAAAATTATTCGTTTAATTCTGTGACAATAGTTCAAGCTGTTTTGCATTTTCGCTAGAAAGAATTAATTAATTAATTCTTCCCCCATTTACCGTATATAATATTATCGATCGAAATCGAATAAATCGTGCATTTTGAAAATGTTTAAACCTACGAATTAAACCGATTGATACAACAACCCTTTCATAAAATCTAAACTTGTTGTCAACTTACTTGACAATTCGAATACTGCCCACTCTCGTTCAATAAAATTTAACTTCATCGATAATATTGTCGATATTTTAAACGAATACCGTCACTACTTTTCGTAAAATAATCCGACATAATTAATCATTAATCAAAACAGAAGCAAGATATCGCAAAATTTCGCGTAAAAAAAAAAAAAAAGGAAATTAAAGAAAAGAAAAAATAGCCTTTAATAATGAAGCAAATTACGAGTCGGAAGTTGCAACGTGGTACAAGAAGTGGTACAAATTAGCTCGTTTACGATCCGGCCGATGGCGATAATATTGAATTACAAGGAAGAGGAATAAAGAGATGGAAAAAAAGAAAGGAAAGAAAGAAAGAGAGGGACAGAAGCGAGAGATCGAATAAATCAATGGATTTAAAAGATTACGAGTTTGTTCTCGAGAAAGCATCCATTCATTCATGAATACGTCCGCACGTTTTTCCCTCGACCTAATATTTCCCCGCTGAATTTAACAATAATTTATTTGCGAACGCATCGAAACCGTTCCACGATCATTGAATTGCAAAAAGGTCGGGCCGACAAAGGTGTGAAATGAAGAGCAACTTGGAGCCAGAAGCTCTGTCGCGTAAAGATCAAACGGGAGATGGTGCAAGAAGTAAAGAGATGGTGGGTGGGGAAATTCAGATCGTGCAATTTCGAAATCGTGCTCGAGAAATCGAGGAATCGAGGGATGGACGTTTGAGAAATCGAATCGAAAGGAAGAAACATTCGCGTAGATGGCATCTTTGCTTGATAGTAATAATAATAATAATAATAATAATAATAATAATAATAATAATAATAATTTAATAATATAATTGATAGCATGAATGAACGATGGAAATAGTTGGTTTGAAAAATTTGTAAAAATTTACGTATGGAACGAACGAATACAGGAATTCTCTTCCTTTTGATAACTTGGATCGATATGTATAAGTTATGAATTCAGCTTAAAAGTTAGAAAGTATAGGTCAGTTGCAATTGGAGTTTCGTTCGTTTCTGAGAAAATTGATGATTAATCGAAGTTTTCCACTTCGATCGATAAACTAGAAAGCGATAATTGTTATAAATAAATTGCAGTGTAAATTGGTGTGGAGATAAAATCGAATGGTATAAACAAATAGAACGTTGTTTTAAAAATATAAGCGCGTTGATATGCGTCACTTCTGCATCACTTGATTTTTATGGAGGGTTAAAAAAGATCTGGAGTGATTAAGTGATTTCGTGACACTCCTGTTCAATGAATAAAAAAAAAAAAACAAATAAAAATAAAATGTAATAAAATCCACTGTATCGTAATTCTAGCTTCATCGTTTAGAACGCTTTCTAATTCTATTTCCATCCGATAAGAATAAGAATATTTTAGAAATATCTGATCCAAAAAATAAATAAAGAATGAAACGAACTCTTAACGTAATAATTGCAATAACTTCGAATAATATTGTTCGAAATCTGAGAAACATCGTGATCGGAGAACAATTAAAAATATTATCCCATTAACCGCTCTATTCTGGGTATTCTGTTTGATAAGAGGAAATATGTATATATACACGTATATACGTGCATGGTATATAACTCGAACTCTAAAGGGAAATTTCGAAGATTGCCACAACATTCAACATCTGTTACTCTGTTTGAAAGACGCCTGCTACTTAATAGGCTTCGACTGATCTAATTATCTCCGCAATGAAGCATCACGGTTAATGACCACGTAAATAGAGCCGACGTTGATTAAACGCACGAACATGAAAAATCGTATCGTGGATAAAGGTAAAGCAAAATAAATACGCAGAAATTTTGTTCTCCCTTTAATAGTCGCGGAATTACGATAAATATTTGATTAAAAAAAAATAATAACCTTTATTAATCGTAACGAGAGGAAAATAGTAATAAAAAAAAGGAGGGGAAAAAGAGAGGAATAATCGATAGACTTATATACCGTCATTACGCGCGTAATTTAAATAATACGTTTTATTTTATCGATAAATAAATTGAAATTCAAGTATTGATGAAAATAATCTAAAATAAAAGAAGCATCGAGCCGATAATGTCTTATAAAATTTAAGAATTCGTAGAATTTATTAAACGTCGATGAAAATAATCGTATAATCGTTAACGTGATTAAATATAATTCTTCTTCAACATACGATACGAAAAATACAATAACAATTTTGTAACCAATTTTTTAACCAATTGTAAAAGAATTAAAATCTAAACGAACGAAAAAAAACCAGAGGAAAATAAAGTTCTTTGAATTTAGCGATTCGCAAAAATGCACAAATAGAGATTATTTTTTTTATGAAATTTTGCGAATGCGAGAATAATTAAACCGAGACGAGAAAAAAGAGGCGAGCCGGGAACTCGATCGACATCGGTCGAAGCTCAATTTGTCCTTAATCAACGTCCACGGGGGAGGAAAAAACGGAGCACAGCTGGAAACGTGGTGGAAAAAGCCAAAAACCGTGAAACTCGGCGAAAGGGAGATCAGCATGAGAGCAGGGCATTGGCGGGGATACGGATCCTGATCCGCGAAGGGATGTTGCCGTCGCAACCCCCGACCCGTTCACAACACTCAAACTGTTTCCCTTGTCGTCGCGAGAGTGGAAAACGAGCAAAACCGCGTACAGCCGAGAACAAAGTTCGCGGCGGCGGTGGCAGCGTACGTAAATATGAAACTTTCGGGAAAAACTAAACTGTAAAATCAAAAAACAAAAAAAAAAAAAAAGAAAAGGAAAAAAAAAGGAATAGAAGTAAAAAAAAAAAGAAGAGAGAGAGAAAAAAGACACGCAAAACACGTATAGTTGCACAAACGTATAAACACCAGAGAACGTGGTTAAAAAACATCCTATCCTAAAAACGATGAAAAATCCTAATATACCTGAGGATGATACATAGAGGTGGTCTTGCCATCTGTTCGGATGCTGGGAGGTGTAGTAGCGTTCGCGGTCGGCAGATTCCTCGGATTCATCGCGATTTCGGGCCCAGGGTGAATCTTCCTGATCCCCTGGGTGCCGGTCGAGGGACCCATGGTCGGGGCCTTCACCATCGTCGGCCGCACCCCGGTGTGTGCTCTCGATTCCCCGCTGTTCCACGGAGCACACGCAAGGAAATAGCGAGAAAGAGCGAGAGAGAGAAAGAGAGAAAGAAAGAGAGAAAGAGAGCAAGGGAGAAAAAGCACGCACGCACCGTGGAGACGAAGCACAGGCGAGAGCAAGCAAAAGCACACTGGCCGCCGCTGCCGCCGGTTCTATCGATCTGTCCTTCTCTCTTGTTGTTCTCCCCTTTTTTCGCGGTAGAACGCGTGAAACGGGAAGGGAAAAAATGAGAAAATTGTCCGTGGTCCTGACGGTAGGACCCCTGAGGAGGACCCGGTTACGGTGGCACTCACCACCCAGCGTCCTCGTCGACTATCTCCACGCTCCGTTCCCTCCCTCGAACGTACATCGTTTCGTTCTGCCGACTTATCCCGACCACGGCCGAGAGCGCAGCGCCACAGGCGGACAGCGAGGGAAGTAGGGGACGTGGGGCTCCGTCGACGAGAGAGGTCTCACCGCGAACGATGGAGGAGAGTTTCGAGGTGGGCGGACTGGCCAGGGACCGTTTCATCCCCGTTTAAAATGAATGATGCGCGAATGTTTCCATTAATTCCGAAACACGGCGAAAGATGGCTCGCGTGTGTCGTAATAATAGTCGTGGACGCGCGTAATGCTTCGGCTTATACGTACCGTGATCCATTTATACAGAGGGTTTTAAATATTCAGAGTGAGATTAAAAAAAAAAAAAAAGAAAAATTCGCGTAGCTCGTGGAAATTGGATTTTTGGATCGCGTTGAGCTTAGGGATTCGTAAAGATAGGAGAGAATTTGAATTTGGAATTTATGATAGTTTAATAAGGTTAGAATCCGAGTCGACTAGATAGATTTCACTTTGGACGAAATGGAAAATCTTGGAAACGGGCCAAGAATGATTTCTTTGCTTCTTGATAAATGATGTGTAAATTTTTTAATTCCAAAGGAGTGGTTTAAGATGATACACGGTACGCGGTAGTTATATATAGATAAGACACGATACTTTCACGTTTTTTTACGGAATAAAGTAGAGTGATCATAGCACTCAAGAGGATTTAAATATTTAAGGATTTTTTGATTCTACTACGAACCTTGCGATGTACACGATAAATATTGTGTACTGGATCGTTGTGGATGAGTTTAAGGAAAGTGGAATGTTGGAATTTGTTTCAGAATAGTATAAGTGGAATTTGTAATAACTAAATAGAATATGAATATTTCGTGGTAGATAAATGTGCAGAGTTGTAAAGGTATTTTCGGTATTTAATATATTTTATTTAAAATTATACGTGAATAAAAAGATGGGATTTGCAATAATTAAATAGACTACGAGTATTTTAATGTAGTAGATGAAAAATATATAGAATAGAACTGTTTACATTACGATCTTTTCCTATCTTTTATTTTTCTTATCGAATATTTGTCTCGCTTGATTTCTTTGTGGATTGTATTCTTTGCAATTTTTATTTTCACAGTACACAGAAAGCGAGCTAGTACAGAGGAAATTTGCGTTGAACAGGTGTCAGGATTTATGGGTTTTCGGATATGAGCGCAAAGATCGAAAAGGAAATTGTACAATTGCGGTGTATGCAGAGTTATATGAGATTAGAATTATAGGTTAGAATTATGAATTGTATTAAAATGTACGCGTTAGAAATTGTTTTAATATTTTAATTTCTAATTTTTTTCTAATGCTAGTATTATTGTGTAAATGCGTTTATGAAAAAATAGATGCAGAAATCCATGAAGTTTCAAATACAAATATAATTTGTTAAATATAAATCGTATTGTATAAAAATTTTAATATTATTAACAATTGTTTACCAACTATTTCTTTAATATTTCCACGAACTAGATAAAAAATTATTCGAAAAATGGAATATATCAAAACGTAACCTATATATAGAAAAATGATACGAGCTTGATCAAATATATTTCTTCCTTTGCTTCAAATAAATGAATAAAACATTAATCTATGAAGCTATTATATTTCTTATTCATCGGTATCTCTAGTATCTTTCGTGTATACTTCAACATATTTTCCACTTTTTTCATATATATATATATTTCAATAAATAAAATTCCTTTCTTTAATATTCTTTAATATTCTACATTTTATTTAAATCATAAACGCAAAAGATAAATTTTGCAAACAGATAAACTTAAGAAATAAAATTTTTATAATTTTAAGCAGAAATACTCTTCCTGTTTCGCAAATCAAAACAATTTATTATCCCAAAATACCATCACAATACACGATTTTATCATATGAAAAAGTTAATTCGCTTAATAAATAAAAATCTCCCTGTACAAAACGTGCATTCATCTTGATAGCGTTTTCGTTATTCCGAGAATGGAAGATCGTGACGAAAAAGAAAAGTGTAGGAAAAAAGGAGAAGAAAGAAACTGGGAGAATGGAATGTCTCGAAGGCCTCGATCATGGTGGCGAGGATTGAACACGGTTCGTACGAGAATTTCAGATTGTGGAAGGGAGGATGGTAGTGGATCCATGGAAGAAATCGTGATACTTGTTAACCAGCAAGGAAAGGTTGAACTCGAGCCTCGGATCGTTTGTGCCAATACTTTCGTAGTCTTTTAACTAGCGGTAGAAGCTCAAGGGAAATCCAAGACTTCCAACAGAGGGAATGTATTTACGCTTCATCGAAGGTAAGAATACAGTTTCTTGTCTTTCGAATATATAGCCGCATGCTGTTACCTTTTCGTTTTTTTTTTTTAAAGATAAAATTGTAAAATCACACGTACGATTTAAATATTTTTACGAGATTTATAATTTTTATATTTATAATTTTTACGAGATACGATACGATTGAAATGAGTGTTATGAAATTGAGTTGGATTCGCGAATGAATCGCGTTGAAATTAATTCCATCTCCTTGGAATTCCTCCAAGTCGACTGTTTCCACCTGTGTAATGAGGTAATTGCACAGGGCATTCGATAAGGATGCTTCCTTCGACAATGTAGAATTAACGAGACTCGGATTGGTGGAGAAATTATATAAGATATCGATTGGTTGATATACATGCTTCTTCACATCTTGCTGAATAACATTATAGAATTTGAAAACATGAAAGATATATATTTTAAAAATAATTGCAACAACGAAGACTATAAAGTGTTATTCGTTAAATAAAGTAAAATCTTTGAAAGATTTATAAATATGAAGATTTTTTTTAAAGCCAAACAAATGCCTTTCGAAGATATATCCTTCGATATAATAATCTCCTCCTAGTTTTAATGCTATTGAAACTAGTTAAGGAATAAAACTGATTAAAAGTAGTCAGTGAGTAAAACTTTGTGAGTTGATAAAAGTTTACTTCTTTCAAAATAGCAGATTACACAGCATCGCTATTATTTATGGATGGGGCGAGAGTAATTTTAAATTAATATTTCACATTAAATACGACATCATATTTAATAAAATCACTTTGTGAAATGCGACTTCAATTTATAAACTCTAACGTTTAAGTAGGATGCAGTAACTAACCATTTTACTTGAAATAAATCTAACTTTAAAACTTCTCTATTCTAAAAATTAGAAAATGTGATTTATCAAGTTCTGGTTCGGTTTCATTGTGCACGCGCAAATGTCGATAAATGTTAAAATATTAAAGTTGTCACAAGTTTTCGAGAACAATTGAATCTTAAATTGAAAAAAAAAAAAAAAAAAAAGAAACAACTGAATGAAACCCACGTGAAAACTGATGGACACCCACATGTCAATGAATATTTATATACGCGAGAAACGGAGACCATTTGAACTTTATCCGATAAGAACCTACGTAATAATTCAATTTCGCTATGATGCTTTAAACAAAACCCCTAGGCGAATGAGAAAGAAAGAAACGTTCGTGATAAAAACCATGCAGAACGATCGATCGTTGCGATTGATTCAGCTCTCATCAAAAGAAAGAAATATTCTCGCTAACGACAACGTCATCGCGTTTCGATAAAAAATACAGAACGTATCGCGCGACGCCTACGAGTTGACGGATTGGCAATCTGGAAAAAAGCGTATCAGACGGAAGATATAGCAGTGGAAGGGAGTAGAAAAAGGGAGTAGAAGACGGGGAAAAAAAAAAAAAAATAAGAAAAAGAGAATCGTGTTTTACGTCATCGACCCTCCACGGAAGAACTGACGCCCACGCGAGAAATGGATGCGTACTCTTATGCTTATGAAAAGGAGGAACATCTTTGTACAGAGCTCGTAGTCAGTCTAATTCAAACAGATGCTAGCTTGTATCGTCAAAAATTCAAATAGTCTCGTTGCCTGTAAAATCAACGCGATAAAATTCACGATACATTTTGCATTGAAAACTTATGACATTCCGTTCGATATGATGTGAGTTATACGGAAGCCAAACTGGCCGAGACTGTTGAGAATAATTCATTTTTAAGAAGTAAAGATTTTTAAAAGAATTGAATATTACAGTTGACTTATTTATAAAATATCTGTTGTATATAAACAAGATCAAAAAGTTTCAAAATCTAATTTAAAAAAAACTTATAAATCTTAACTTTGTCGAATTAACTTCGATATTTAATTTTTATAAATGCACAAGAAATTGTTATTTCTTTATGTAAAATTAAGATAGAAATAATTATATTGTGATGATCATAAGATGAAAAATTAAATAAATAGAATGATAAATATCGATAATAACGTAACTTTTCGTTCTACAGCGTTAGAATTTTTTTATACTATGTATTTATCCAGCGCGCTTGCATTCGCGTGATACATGGCGTTCAACGAATCGACAGTCCGTTTTCTGCGCTAGTTTTTGTTGCTGTGTACGGGTAAACAACCCGTTCGCGAGTTTCCACGACTGTTCGTGACAATCGAAAGATGTATTATCTCGTTTCGTTGCTTCGGTTCAATTGTTGGCAACGATATAACGATTTTCCAACGCCGCGATTCTCTAGTTTTCTTTCGAAAACCTTTCCATATTACAGGATATTTTACATAAAGATCAGACTTTTTACGGAATCAAATGATATCTGATATACCGACCGTGCTACAACTTGTCATCGACAGTACTGACACACAAACGAGAAACAGAATAGACATAATATCTTATGGAATTTTGAATCACGTATTCTGAAATACCGACCTTAACAAAGAACGTTTCTTGCGCCATCTAGAACGCTATAATCTAAGTATGTACGCAGAATTGAAATTATATAAAAAAATTCGTACTTATTTAGTTTATATATTTTAAAACTGAATGTTAACTATCTTACTACTGTTAACTACTTTAATAAATTCAGTTAAAAAAAAAAAGCACTTACCTCTGTTCCATAAAACGTTAGCTGTCATCGTGACGTCTGTATTGAAAATCCTTTTTTCCAGTTAAAGCGATCAGCTATTTGTCTGCGCAAAAAAGTCAAATCTTTAAAATAAATGTATAAGATATATAAAATTAAATTAATCGTAATCTAATTCAAATTCTATTTTAGAAACTCCCAATATGAGTTAATGGTAACTCTAATTATCAAATTGACATAAAATAAAAAAAGAAGAAATTATTGAAAAATGATTTTTCAAAAAATTATTAATCATATTAATATTCAATAACTAAACAAATATTTATTAATGAAATAATAATATAAAGAGTAAGAAAATAATTACGGAATAAATCACGCATCTCAATTAAAGCATCTAGCTGTGACGAATGTCGATAACAGAATAACATTTTGCGTACTAATTTCGATGTATCGAGAATGAGAGGGGGTATGCTCAACAATTCGATAAGTCAAAACATGTCGGAGCGTGGCATGCGAACAATATTTCTCGGAAAGAAATGTTTTCAACCTTAAGACTTTAAGCGTAAAATCAAAACAAATACAGAAATCTTTAATAATACACGAATTGAACGTAATAGATAAACGCATTTAAACAAGAAATATGTGTATGTGAAATAACTTAGCTATTTCGATCTTTATATGAATAAAACGATAAAATAAATTTATAATGATTTTCTGTTAAAATATGTAAAATAAATAAAAACTTACTATATTTGGATGAAAATCGTCCAATTATATATCTTAATTATCATGGTATACGGAGAAACTATTACACATTCAAAGACATCTTCGAAGCTTCGATCAAATAATCTGTACAAAAATATGGTTAATTCTAATATAATAATGATCAAATAAACATATATTAATTAAACAACGCTTAATATATTAAGCTTAATTAAACTTAATAATTTATAATAAGCTTAAATTTATTTAATTACGCACCTTTGCCGATGAAATACAACCTATCAGCACAATTTTCAACTATAAACTGACGACATGCGCACTATGATGCGCACTCATCTGCTTAGTTTCTCAATCGACTAAAGCAGTATCATTTCCTATTCATTCAAATCGTATAAGAATTCAAACACAATATATTTTAATTATAGATTTTTATACATCGAAATTTTATTTTATTCAATTTTACAAAAATTTATTACAGTATAAGAATAATATTTATCTTATCCTTGAAAATGATACGTATAAGCAAATATGATAAAGTAGAATAAGAATTATAATATCTTTATCATTTAAGAGATGACGCTAATGATCAATTCTTATCTTCTATATATCTTCTATACCTTTGTTCTTCTTTTATCATTTTTTTTGCTTATATTTATTTTACAAATTCATATGCTTAAAGAAAAGTATTAATTTTTAATTAATTTTGTTATCAAAATTGTTGAATATAATATTTCATATATATATATATATATATATATATATATATATATATATA